AAATTACTTTACCATAAAAAGCAAAATAAACTACAAGTACTCTTTAGCAAACAAAGGATTGTAGTAATGACTGCAACAAGTGCCACAAAGACAAAGAAGGGTTGTAAAGGAGCAAGTATTGCTGAAAGGCAAAAAAAGATAAGAAGCTGTGGAGGACCGTGATCAAAGAGAAAGGGATGTGACAAGTTTGAGCAAATGGGTGGAGAGACAAGTACTACAAAGATAAAGAGAAGTCGTAAAAGAGCAAGTATTGCTGAAAGTAACAAAAGACAGGAAGCTGTGGAGGACCGTAATCAAAGAGAAAGAGATAACTTTCATGACAAGTTTAAGGATAGAGAGAAAAGCAGCACAAAAACAAAGAGGAGTTGTGACTATGTAGGTATTTCTGATAGCATGAAAGAAAGGAAGATGTGGAGAACCATGATTGGGCATGTCCAGAACAGGCTTGTTAGAGAGGGAGAGAAATGTTAATATTCATAATTTGGATGAAGGTTTAGGATATTATTTATGTTAACTGGTCCACTTGTAAAAACAAACAAAAAAACATTTTGGTTTGTTAGACCCTAAAAATATTGATTCTTTTATCATTTTTTTCTGGAGGATTCTGTCTGTAATATTGTTATATACCATACCTATGAATACTTATGGGTATGTCCCAATCCTCATAAATACATTGGACACTATTGTAAGTGGGGGTAATATGCTTTCTAAGTGGACAAGCTTTGTGTACCTAATTAATGTGAGTAAGTGATGTTCCTAGCCTGCTCCTGGCTACGGCTTTGATTATGATCCAAGTTGAGATTCCCAACCTCCCCAGTTTGTTTCCCTTTCATCTCAACTGGGTCAGGTTTCTTTACTCCCTATGTCCATATTTATATTCTCCTTTCCCTCTCCCTTAGCGAGAGAGCCTCTTGATTTTGTCCAAGAGCAGAATACATCAGCCTCTCTTTTTCGAGGGTTGAATGGGTCCTAATAACATCAGTTATTTTTATTTGGTTTGTTTTGGGGTTCATCCCATCCCCTCTCATTGTAAATCATCCATAGATTTTTATGTATAATTTTTTATAATCATCAAATTTTTATGCCATGGGGTGTGCTTTTTAGGTTCCCTGAGAGTATACGGCATTATGGTATATGGATGATTGACTGATGACAGATGAGTTCTTGTGGTGAATGTGCTACTTTTAATGAATGAATGGGTCATGAATCAGATTAGTTAGGTATAAGATAGTGAAGACCAGCCTCAACCCATTTCCCCTTTTTCGGCCTTATGCCAAAATTGTATGTTTTATACAATAAATCTCAATATGCTGTCTAAGTAGTCCACCACCAGCAGTGGTTTACCTACACTATGCTGCTGGTGAGTATTGTATTTTGTTGATGCTATAAAGATTAACATTTCATTTCCAACCTCCAATTTAGTTATTCCTCATTCAGTAACCCTTTCTAGGTTACAAGAGTCAGCAAGAAAATATTTGAAGATGCTACGATTGTAAATGAGATAGATAGATAGATAGATAGATAGATAGATAGATAGATAGTGTTATCTACCATACCTATGAACACTAATGGGTATGTCCCAGTCCTCATAAATACATTGGACACTATTGTAAATGGAGGTAATATGCTGTCTAAGTAGTCCACCACTAGCAGTGGTTCACCTACGCTATGCTGCTGGTGAGTATTGTATTTTGTTGATGTTATAAAGATTACCATTTCATTTCCAACCTCCATTTTGGTTATTCCTCATTCAGTAACCCTTTCTAGGTTACATCAAATATAAATACTGTGTCAAATTGATCTCTGAATTTTAAAGAGTTATTTGTACTTTGTTTTTATTTACAAATGTCAAGTTTGAAACTGTGCTTGTATTATTGATAACTGCATATTACTGATATTGTCCTTTTCCTCAATTCATAATAGTACACAGTTATAAATAATGTAAGCACAGTCTCAAACTAGACATTTGTAAATAGAAATAAAGTAAAGATAACTCTTTAAGAAGTCAGAGATTGATTGAATTTATATTTGTATTATGAACAGGTGTGGACACATGGCCGAGTGGTTAGAACGTTTGGTTTCTGACCATGAGACTCGTGCCCAAATCTCACGACAGTTGATTTGTCAGGTTCGTCAGGAAGAAGACTTCCTGATGTTATTGGTCTGGGTGGGGTGGGGGTTGATCCCAGTGTGTAGCGCCTTTGGAAAGTGCCGTAAAACCAATACCATGGGTTGACCCAAGTCTTGTGAGTGAAATTGGGTAGACGGAACCCTTGGGGACCGTTGATAGCTGTGGTAGCACAAAGTCCCAAGTCATCATGACCGAAGGTTTGAGTGTGCTGGCCTTGTTCGGATTGTTGATCATGCCATATAACACGCTATCTCCCAGAAACTGTAACTAAGGTCTGCTGAGCATAGTTGCAGTATAAACCACAGGTGGGCTCTGTTGGTGTTGAGCAAACATAAATGTGCCTGAGTGAGCATCTGCAATAAGGATTGTCTAGCTGCTCTAATATCCTTGAATATAAGTGGCCAGTTATTATTTATATTATGAACAGAATCCTTTCTAAAATGATAAAAAATCAACATTTTATTATTCGGACAAAATATTTTATTATTTGAATAAAAGGATAAAGGAAGGTGTTAATCTACAAAAATTATTAAACAAAAATTCTTCCCTATTTTTCATCAGTGGACAATTTGTTGTATTTCCTGTATGCTAAAACACATTTTATCTTTGGAAAATATCCTCAGAAATCACCCTGCATCTTAGCACTGAAAGACCAAGTTATAGAGAGAAGTTTACTAACCTTCACAAGCCCCAGTCACAAGATACAGGAAATTGCAAACCCCAGACATAAGCCTACAATTATCATTAGTATGTAATAAATACTGTTAGAGTGTATAGGTTAAGGAAAAGGCTTAGATACAAGTTACAATGATAAAAATATTTATTATTATTAGAAAAGCTAAAGTAGATATTGTCCTCCCTACACAGAAAGTGTAGTCTGACTTACCAGAGGTGTCTGTTGTTGATACAAATAACAGGTTCCTCTTTCATTAAAACAGGTCTGTGATTCCCTTTGTCTGGAGCTGGTCCTTAGGAATAGGTCCTAGGTCCTTGCATGAATGTCTATCCTCTATGCTAGTCCTCGTATCTCTGTGAACCTTGATAACTGTCACATGGTTTTCTACTTTTATGTAGGGGAGAAAGCCTTTTTTCACCAATCCAACAATACCATGTCCTGTTAGCATCATACTATATATATTGTATTTTTCAAGAATTGATGATAACCAGTAGGCAGCTTCTTATCACTACTGTAAGTTTCTCATTCACCTAAGTATACTGTATGGTATCTTCACAAACCCCCAACTCCAGCCACGTAATACACACTGACAGTTATGTTTCATATGTACACAAAGAATATTGACCTTATTACCACACTTTGTGAGCTAACTCAATAGTCAGTCAATTATGTGCCATGCATGATATATGCTTAGGTGATAATGTATCTTTTGATACATGACTGATGAGGCAGATTTTTTTTCCCGCAGTAGGTTGCCATTTCTTTCTCCAGTAGACCAGTTGCCATCCAAGGCTACAAAATCCTGTCTGTCCTGCTATTTACCCATAGCTGGGGTGGAGAAGATGAAGATTCATACCTTTCCCAAGTGTATTAGTGTGTAAGTGAATGTAATGGATTCAACTGGAATTCGAACTCACCTCTGCAGTTCCTCAATCCGAGCTGCTATCCATTGCTAAGTCTACCATTAATTCCAAATGTACTGTCAATTTCCAGTATCTACTATTCGCCATTTTGTTTATAATTAATAATAACCAAAAATATCTAATAATACATCCAAAATGTGATAATTTGTTTTAGCAGAAAGAAAAATGACACACTAGAGTCTGCATCTTGGACTTGCTTGTATGGTAAACTGTTAAATTCTCAAATATTTTTTTTTCAAAAAAATACCTTGCTAATTATACAGTGCATTTTACCATTTGACACACTAGAGTCTGCATCTTGGACTTGCTTGTATAGTAAGTAGTTAAATTCTCAAATATTTTTTTCAAAAAATACCTACCAGATAATTGACTGACTATTGAGTTAGCTCACAAAGTGTGGTAATAAGGTTAATATTCTTTGTGTACATATGAAACATAACTGTCAATGTGTATTACGTGGCTGGGGTTGGGGGTTTGTGAAGATACCATACAGTATACTTAGGTGAACAAAAAACTTACAGTAGTGATAAGAAGCTGTCATAAGGACATGGATGGCATTTTACCACTTGTAGCATCTTAGCATATAGGAAATATGGTAACCTAGCTAGCACTAGATTTAGGTGCAGGATTATTGGTTGTAAAGCAGTGATTCCTAAAGTAGGTAGTACTGCTCCCCTGTGGGCAGTGGAATGATCCTTCAGTGAGGGAAAATGTGGGCAGCCAGAGGGTAGAAGTGTTATATCTGAACCATAACATACACCATACACACATATTGTACCTGAAGTGCATCTTGCCTTCACTTTACAGTGTATCTCATTTATATAACAATTATTATGGGAAATGCTATATTCATTTGACATACAAGAGTACTCCCCCCAAAAATCCAAGTAAAAGCCGGACTATACATTTCAGAGGTTATGTTTTGGTATGCAAGGGGTTGTAAACCAAACAAGTTTTGGAACTACTGGTTTAATGGAAAATAGATTGATTCAATTGATCTGTTTTTTATAACTTATCAACCCATTGCAGGTTATTTAAAGCCAGAAAATATTTTTAGATTGTAAGAATATATTTTTTTGAGATAATAGTGATTTAGGGATACAAGTCTTACTAATTAACCCATAGTGGGGGAAGAAGATTTGGATTCATACCTTTCCCAAGGGCATTTGCATGTGTACATGAATATAATGACCCCAATAAGAATTGGAACTTGGCTCTCTGATTAACAATTCCAAGCAATTATCCATTAAACCACCTACATACCCAAGTTTACGACATCTGATCTTCTCAAGTGGACACCCATCTAGGTACTGATCAGGCTTGATGTTGCTTAACTTTAGTGATCGTTTGGGAACCAATGTTTCAGTGTTATATGGCTGTAAGCCTTTAATGGAAAAGTGGAGTAACATTGTAAGGAAGAACTGACAGTTGCAAGAAAAGACACCTGATGCGGAAAGGTGGACGAACACCAGTGGAACAAACAAAGGGGTCCATTCAGCAGTCCCTTGGAAATATACACAGTATACAGTGTAGGAATGCAAGTACATTTACATAGTATGAAAAAAACAGGTTTCTGAAATTCCTTAGGTGCATCTGATGTGGAAAGATATAGGAACTCAATACAGCATACCCCAGTGGATATTCCTGGAAGATTGTTGAGTTTGATAGACATTCGAAGAATGCTATAAAGTACAATGACTGAGATACAGCAAAACAACAAAGATATGGATGAACATGCCATAAAGACATAGATGGACATGTCATAAGGACATGGATGGTCATGTCATAAGGATATGGATGGACATGTCATAAGGACATGGATGGTCATGTCATAAGGATATGATTGGACATGTCATAAGGACATGGATGGTCATGTCATAAGGATATGGATGGACATGTCATAAGGACATGGATGGTCATGTCATAAGGATATGATTGGACATGTCATAAGGACATGGATGGTCATGTCATAAGGATATGGATGGACATGTCATAAGGACATGGATGGTCATGTCATAAGGATATGGATGGACATGTCATAAAGACATGGATGGTCATGTCATAAGGATATGGATGGACATGTCATAAGGACATGGATGGTCATGTCATAAGGACATGGATGGACATGTCATAAGGACATGGATGGTCATGTCATATGGGATATGGATGGACATGTCATGGACATGGATGGTCATGTCATAAGGATATGATTGGACATGTCATAAGGACATGGATGGACATGTCATAAGGATATGGATGGTCATGGATGGTCATATAGGATATGATTGGACATGTCATAAGGACATGGATGGTCATGTCATAAGGATATGGATGGACATGTCATAAGGACATGGATGGTCATGTCATAAGGATATGGATGGACATGTCATAAGGACATGGATGGTCATGTCATAAGGATATGGATGGACATGTCATAAGGACATGGATGGACATGTCATAAGGACATGGATGGTCATGTTATAAGGACATGGATGGTCATGTCATAAGGACATGGATGTACATGTCATAAGGATATGGATGAACATGTCATGAGAGCCAACAATCTTTATTACTGCAATTTTTAAAATCTAAATAAAAAAACTTACAGAAAAGTAAGATTATATAAAGATATTTTGTTTCTAGAAAATTAAAATAAATGTGCAAAATTACTTACAATACTTTTACTTAAATGTACATTTTGGATAGATAGATAGATAGATAGATAATGCAGATAAAGCATATTTTCCATTTACTGGCAGATCTTTACACAAAAGATAACAGCTAATATTACCATTTAATATTAGTAACATCATCTTATAACCATCTCTTAGCCACTGTTGACAAGTTGAAATGTTATGGACATGTCATAAGAGGCAACAATCTTTCCACTGCCATCCTACACGGCACCAGCTTAAACAAAAGAAGAAGAGACAGACAAAAGACAGAAATGGGCTGTCAACATCACCAAGTGGACTGGAATATCATTCAAAGAGACTCAGTTATTGGCAATAAAAACCAAAACATATGGAGGGAGTTGTTCAGGTGCTTAGTTATGTAGCAACCCTATGACCACACCCAGGGACTGACGTTGAGGATAATGATGATGATTAACATTGTCTATTTATCACATGTTTTGCTTTATATTTCTTGTCTATCATTATTAATTTTATGAATTATGCTCAGTGTAAAATAAAAGAGCTGAATTGATACTAATTATAAAATTTATATATACATTTGTCACTCACTGTTTGGTACAAATCTGGATTTAATGCATGTGGCAATCATCAGGCAACTGAAGAAAACTGACCAGTCAGTTTTCAGTTTGTGTCTGATAATTGCCATGTCCATAAAACTCAAAAGTTCTTTGAATGATGAGGAAAAATGTATATTTATTATTAGTATAAATTTTTGCTCTGTTATTCTACATCAAGCACTGTTTCATTACCATCAATGCTCACTGTGCACTATATATATATATATATATATAGATAGATAGATATACCAAACAAGTTTGATTAAAAAGAACTGACAAGGTTTTTTTCTTATATTTGTAAATCTTTTTTTCATCAAATTTCTACAAGTTTAACCAGATTAATTTTAGTCTATATTTTAGTTTTATTTTAGTTTTTAAATCATTTCCTCTAAGCAAGCTTACAGTCAAATCATGCTGAAAACACTGGTTTTTGTTTGATCATAGAAGTTAAGCACATCAAGCCCAGTCAGTACTTAGATGAGAGAATGCTTGGGAAGACTCGGTAGTGTAGGCTACTTCCTACAATGTTTTGGCTTCAAATAATCCACAAAGGGCTGATAAGCCATAAAAAGCAAATCAGTCAATCCCCCAAGCAAGGCAATAAAGCCACTAAGCACCAGACTAGATGTAGCAGCAATATTTAATAGATGGACAAATGGTCAACTTATAAATGTACATGATAGATTCTGGCAAGTGAAATTGTTGAGCTCAAAGCAGTGAACCTAGAAATCAATTCAATATAATCTTTCAAATTCCTGTCAGGGGAAAACGTGAGACTGAGAAAATTATTAGCCTATTTTTTGTATTGTCTCACTTGTAATATGTCTCTAGAGTTTGACCTACAAAGATTTTCTTTATCCAAAATAAAAATTAAAATGTTTTTTTAAGTTCAGAGTAAATATTACTTTATTATAACTCAATTATTTAATATCTTATTTCTGTAGTATTTCATTTTTGGTGTATAGCCAAGTGGTTAGAATGTTTGCTTTCAGACCATGAGAACTGGATTCAAATCTCACCATGGTCAATTTCTCAGGGAGGTGAATTTTTTATATCAGTCTGATGAGATGATTCCAGCATGAGGAATCTTTGTGATGTACCTGAAAACCCAGACCATGGGTTGACCCAAGCTTTTTGAGTGAAACTGGTTAGACAGAAAAATTTTGAATCTGTTAGTGGTTGTCCTAGCACAAAGTCACAAGTATTTATGACCGAGGTCGTGAACATACCGACATTGCTCTAAAACATTATTTGCTCTCTCCAGAAATTACAACTAAGGTCTGCTCAGCATAGTTGCAGTATAAACCACAGGTGGGCTTTGTGGGTTGAGCAGGTGTCTGTAATAGGGTTTGTTTAGCCTCTATTGTGGATGAAGGTGCATGTGAATGAAGTGTTGCTAACCATTCTTATTATTTCTTGTATTCATTTGATGTTTTAGCTCTTTTACACTCATAATAATCAAATTTCTAACATAATGAAACAGAGTGCAGATGGGATATTGATTAACAACATGGAAACTGAAATCTGTAAAAGTTTTTACAACAAAAAGTACCAAAATGAATAATGTCTAAACAACTCTTAAAAGAACATATTAGAATATTTTAATATAGACAGAAAGAATCTGAGGAAGAGCTGAAGAAAGAGAGAAAAAAATAAAGAATGAGAAAAAGTTTAAAAAATTAAAAAGATTTCCAAAAAGTCTGAAGAATGTAAAATCTTGCAAACAAAAAGATTTTTTTTGTTTTTAAAATGAGCATGAAATCAACACAAGAGCTGAAATGACTGGTTTTGTAGCTGTTTCCAATTGGTGTTAGTAGTTTCAGGTAAAAGAAGGACATGGAATGATGATTTTCAAACAGACAGGGAATTAAAAGAGTGAAAAGTGTTAAAAAAACCCTGAAATGAAGGAATGAAAAAGAAATGAAGAAATGAAAAAGAAAGAAGTATAAACTATGTCAAAGAAGAAACAGATGAATGGAAAAGAAAGAAAAGAAAGAACAAAAGAAACAATGAAAGAAAGAAAAAAAACAAAAGAAAGAATCAAGAAATGAATGTACAAAAGAAAGAAAGAAAGAATGAATGAATGACCAAACAAAAAAGAAAGTAAGAAAGATGAAAATAAACAAAGTTAAAGAAGAAACAGAGGAATGAAAAAAAAGAAAAAAACAAGAAAGAAAAAAAGAATGAAGGAACGAATGTACACAAGAAAGAAAGAATGAATGAACAAACAAAAAAGTAAGAAAGAAAAAAAGAAAAATAAACAAGTAAAAAAGGTTAGAAAGAATCAAGAAATGAATGCACAAAAGAAAGAAAGAATAAATGATTGAATGAACAAAAAAAAGAAAGTAAGAAAGAAAGATGAAAATAAACAAAGTTAAAGAAGAAACAGATGAATGAAAATGAAGAAAAAACAAGAAAGAAAACTGAATAAATGAAAGACAGATAAAAATAAATGTAAATGGTGGTTTCTGTGATTGCAACATCTGTTCATGCTAAAATAACAAAAAACTAGGGTTGTGGGCCAAAAGTTCCAACTGCTATGATATAAAGACAAAAGCTAGAATTCATCAAAACTTTTCAATGTAATATTAAAGACTCCAAAATGGATACTAAATATAACTTTTCTTTTTTTTTCAGAAACAGTTTTTATTTTACCTTCATTTATATCCTTTGAAAATCTTAGTTACTGAAAATGTATTAGATTATTTTCTAAACTCAATGATATATTTAAACTAGTTTTAAAAACAGAATTCTGCTTCAATGTAAATGACAACAGTTTTGACTATTCATCATGTGGTGATTCAAGGGATATTTTCCTACTAATTAGTACCTATTTTCTCAAAGACTTGTAATGTTCTTCGGGTATAATTATAACAGTGGTTTGCCTACTGCTAAGTGACTCTTATTTCTAATTTCTCTTAATATCAGAGATTTCTTTCTTCTAGATGAGTATTAGTATGACTTATTTAGTGCCTAAATCATAGACTACTAGCATTACTAATTTTGTTTTACTATTTGAATTTTCTAATGTATCATGATATTTAATGATTACAAGTACCAAATACCTGTGGAAATTCTCCAGTTGTATCATTAACTATTTGAGCTTAACAACTTTAACCAAATA